AAAAGAAGTTTGTAAAAAACTAGGGAAATTGTCGCCAAATAATCAAAGAAAAAACTGCTGAGTTAACCCCCAGCGAGTTAATTTTTCCCGAAGAAGCGCAGTTATTTAAAGGAAACAATAGAATCCATTGTCTAACTCGAAAATAAACTTGAGGGCCTTTTCAAGCAAACAACCGCACAGTGGAAGTCGTTCTCAGTTAAGACGGCGGATGTTCAAGAATGTCTGCAACTGACAAAAGTCCAGGGATTATTTTGTGCCGTTCATATATATTTACTATTTGGGCAAAGCGGGCTTTAATATCGCGAGCAGACCGAGCAGGACAGCAGAATGCATTGTTGTCGGAGGAAACTTTTAAAAGAAATTAATTTCAACCGCAACGTCGAGATAAGAACGAGCTCATTGTATTATGTAGTTTCGCCCTGGGGAGCGAATAGAAGATGGGAAATTGATTAGAGCAGCAAATATCGGACTTTTCTTAATAACTCGTATGGTGAGGGAATTGGATAAAGCGGCCGGGTTTCCAGCATTACGATAATCCTCTTTTGAGTTAATAAATCGGCCGGGCCGATGTTACCCCCGACGGGGCTTTAAAGCACCCCATATCTATATTTCAGGCCTTTAGGGCTCTTTAGGGCTCATTAACACGGTGGGTTATTAAAAAAATCGGCCCCAAACACGCCCAATTAGGTCAACACGGCAAAAAGGGCCTCTGGCGAGCGAAATAACTGCTGCGGAGTAAACAGTCTTTTGCTTTTTACCGTCTTTCAGCTCGTCTATTTTCAAAACGTTCGAGTAAACGAGTCCTGTATTTTATAGCCCTATTTTATGGCCCATTAAAGGCTTTGGATTATCGTTCTGATATTAGAGGCCCTTAACGAGGCGGGGGCGAAAAAAAGATACAAGCATGACAAGCATTCAACTACGACAAGCTATGAATGCTGATAAAAACTGATCTTGTTTTGGTGCTTCGCTGTCTATTTTTTAACGAGGGTCTCAAATTGTCGTACGTCGATGGTGGCCATTGAGTTTGTGCCTGTCTAGAGTCCAACGACATTATAACTGAAAGACTTCATCAGTTCATTTACTGCGTGAGCAATAGAAATTTTCAAGTTTTTCCGTTGTGGACAGGGGCGGATCCCTCCAAGTCTGGAGGGGGTTA